ACCTTTACTTGCCATTGACAGAAGAGACGAATCCCCAACAACATGTACAAATTCTGGCTTACTGAGCAAAGCGGCCATTTGTTCCGAGGCCAAAATGTTTCTGATGGCGGCCGAAGCGAGTGCCAGTTGAGCTTGGCAGACGGTAGCTCTGTCCTCCTGTGCCTCCTCCATTGTCGCCGGCCACCGACCCTCATCCTCCTCTTCTTCCCTCTCCTCCTCCACTTCCTCCTTCTTCTTTTTCTCCTCCTCCTTAGCCGCTTTCAGAGAGCCGAGTCCGTCTGAGGATCGTCTTCCGCGGCCAGTTGTCTCGTCAAGTGGGACAGAGGATGCGAACAGCGGCAATAGATGCTGTAGCCGGCTTAGCGAACTGACCGGAGTCTCGGCCGTGCTGTTATTTCTGGTACTGATGGTGGGAATGGTGGAGATGGTGGGGATGGTGGTGGTCGGATCTCGGCCGGGCCATGGCCGGCTTGAGTGGGGGCCGTCTCGGGGAGCGGATAGGAGAGGAGCTCGTGTTGCCAGGGCGACCGAGTCTAAGAGGCCGGTGGGATTACGTCTGCCTCTCAGCGACTCGTCGGGTTGGCCATGACCAGCCTCGTCTCTGGCCGACTGGCTCATGGGCCCGGGCAGACGAGCCAGCAGAAGGGAGGAGAGAAAAGCGGCCGGATGCGAATAGGCCTGGACTCCGGTGGTACCAGCTACCGTGAAGATGGACGAAGCGGCAGCGGCGGCGGCGGCGGCTGCTGCTGCCGCTGTGACGCTGGGCCCCATCAGACTGTCGGTGGGAACGAGTTGTTGCGATGACGACTGGCTGATGGAGGCGAGATCTGCCGCGGCTCCGGCCAGGTGGAGGGGACTGAGCGAAGCGGGAGCGGGTGGTGAGGCCGTCGGGACAGTGGGAAATGTTGACGGCGTTGGGCCAGGGCTGTTGCTAGGACCGGGGAAAAACGCGTTGCTGCCGGTCAGACCAAAGAGGGAGACGAGCAAATCGCGTTCTCCACCTCGAGGCACGACTGGCATAGTCGTCATGGTAGCGCCGGTCCGAGCCGGCGCCAGCGTCGGAGACGGCGCGAGATGGGTCGGCAAGATTCCCGACTGGCCGGTCGGGTTGCCAAGGTGACCGGTGAAGAGACCGGCCAGACAGGATGGGGGGAGGGATGGTCTGCCGGGCTGCTGGTGTGGGGGCATCTTGGCGTCGTCAAAGAGGACGGCCGGCCCTGGTGACGGTGGCAGAGGGGCGAACCTGCCGACTGAGGACCACGACTTGAGCTGATCACCGCCTGGCAACAATCCGCCCGTGCTCAAAGTGTAGTCGTCACCGTGGCGACTCGGACCGGCCGCGGCCGAGAGCAGATGATTCGGCTCGTCAGTGGACTGGAGTGACGAGCCAGACGCGGCCGTGGTGATGTTGCCGGTTGCCGGGAGACTGGGAGTGTAGTAGGGGAATAGGGAGGTGAGGGAGGTTTTGGCGATGAGACCGGACGTCCAGGTCAGTGGTACCGGTGGGGCCGGAGGAGAGACTGTCACCTCTGTCCCGGCACCCTCGAGCAGGAGGGCCCGACGCGTCGGCTCGCCAGACAGCGTTGGTCCGAGTCCCGCCAGGCCCGAGTGTGCTGTCGGTGTAAGGAGGGACGGAGGCCAGTTGCGTCGAAGGCCGAGCAGGCCGAGGCCAAGACCGAAGCCGAGACCGAGGCTGCCGGTGCTGGAGGGCACGTCAGAGACGCGAGGCTGTGAGCCGATCGCGGCTTCACAGACGAATGGTGCCGATGGCGAGTCTCGTGGCTCGGCGTGTCCTGATTGGCCGGTCTGTCTGCCGGTACCGGCCGGACAGACTCGAGCAGCACCGGACGTCTGGGCCGATGCTGGCGGTGGCAAATGTCGACGCCGACCGATGCAGCGCTGCATGAGGAGGCCATCCGAGTTGGGGGAGAACAGGCAGCTCAGGTCCACCGCTTTCTCGACAAGGCCAGAAGCAGAAGAAGATGAGACGGTGGCTTGTGACACTTTGTAACGATGGTGACGAACGGTTTGGCCGGTGCCAGGCGACTTGACGACAGAGTCACAGGTCGTGGTAGGGTTGAAGAGACTGGGGCTGCCAAATGGTCCGCCGAGGAGGGACGATGAAGCCTCCGGCGAGCCACATGCCGACTGACTCGATCGGTGTCCGCCAGAGGCGTTGACGACCGTCGCGATGGTGACATCGCCCGATGCTGCAGTCGGCTGGAGCTGACTGATTGGCGGATTGGCTGAAACGGTGACATGTCCATCCGGTATCACAACTTCTTCGTGGTTTGCCGCCGGACCGCAGGCGGTGCCGCTTGAAGCCGCGCTCGGTCCGAGGAGGCCATAGGCTGTAGAGGAGCGCTGATGGTCGCCTGGAAGTGGCACAGCGCATTGAGGGTCTCCAGGAAAAGGGACTTCGAAAATGCCCCGATTGCCAATTAGACCGGGACCAGCGATACGCAGCTGGGCACTGTTGCGAGACTGACGTTCGTTCTGTACGGCTGTAAATGGGACGATGAATAA